CCCCCCCCACCCCCCCACCAAAAAAGCCTGAAAAAGGGGAGGGTGTTTTTCCCCCCCCCCCCCCCACAGCCCTAGCTTGGGATGCCCGTCTAACCCCCCCCCCCCCCCCCTCTTCCCTTTCTTTCGCAGGCGCGCTGCGTCGACTGAGCAGGCGCCGCCCCGAGTCTCGTCCCGGGTGCTACCAGCTGGGCGCTGCTGGCACCTCGACCCGACTCGGCGCGTCCTCGACCTCTCGCCGCAGCGCCGCCGCAGCGCCGCGGCGTCTCGCATGTCGCGTCCGAGAGAGCGCTCTGCCGCGCTCCGACGCGGTTTCTTTTGCGCTCTGACGCGGTGCCGCGCTGCCTGCCGCGCGCCCGTGCCGTCTCTGGAGTTTCTGCGCCCCCCATGGACCCCCCCCCCCCTCCCCCTCCTCGTGGCCGCTGAGAGGCCGGCCGGGCCGGGGAGAGCGGTGCACTGCGCCGCACACCCCCCTCGAACTCCGGATCCTCGCACTGTCTTGTCACCACTGCCCAGTGCCGCGGCGGCGCAGCATCGCCACCCGGCGGGAGGCCGTACCTCTCTCCCTCTGTGGGCTTGCCCCCGACTGTACGTTATTGGACGCCCGCTGCTCGGATCTTGTGTACGTGCTGCGCGCGCGCGTCCCTACTCGTCCCCACCTTTCGGACTTCTCGCACGCATGTGTGTGTGTCGCGCGCGTCTTGGGGTTTTCTTACGTTCCGCCGGCTCACGTCATGTTATATGCCTTCATGATATGTACCAAACAGTATGGACGCCGCACCGACAGACAGAGTGCGCGCGTCAGGCCTCCCCAATAGACAAAACAATCACCAATAGACAAAGCCCCTCTGCCAGGGGTGACGAGGACTGACGTTCCGCCGCTGCGACTCTCAACCGCTAAGAGGGAGAGCGAGGCCACGGGGAAACGCACGTAGGCCACATGGCGAAGGGGGGACAGAGGGCCGGGGACAGAGAGGGGAGGGAGGGGGGGGAGGGGGGGGGGGGGGGGAAAACAACAAGGACCTCACGAACCTTGTCTGTCTGCGCCCCGCCCCCCCGCAAGGGAGGGAGAGGGTTGGGCACGGGCGCCTACCGCGCCTGCGCCGCCCTTCATGCGCGGCGATCGCGAGCCGCCCGCAGGGGCGGCGGCCGCACGAGCGTGCGGGTCGCCGGAGGGCTCTCTGATGGGACGCACCGAGCCGCCGCCGGAGTCTCCATTTTGCGGCGCTTGTACGCGGCCGCGAGCCCCGAAGGTCTCGACGCGGGCGGCGAGAGGTCGGGTGAGTCGAAGCCGTTGTCGGCGGGCTCGTCGGACATCGAGAGCCACAGGCTAGGGTAAGGGCGGACGGCCGCACCGTCGCCCGAGGGCAGGCCCTCCGAGGGCCCGCTTGGCGCCGACGCAGGGTCGGTCCGGACGGCAGAGTCATTCTGGACCGCCGGGAAGAGAACCGAGCGCGCCGAGGCGGAGGTCTGCAGCCCGACGGCGCAGAGGCGGAGCGGCGCGCGGCAAAACGATGGCGGGAGCATGCCGGTAGAGGTGGTCACAGCACCCTTCACTAATGAGGTCCGCGGCGGCGTCCAAGGCACCGTCTTGCATGGAGAGGAGGAGGGAATAGACCGGGCGGCGGCGTCTCCGCAAGGAGGCGCCGGCCCGTCGCCGCGCACGAGCGGCGACCGCGAGTCTCCCTGCATCACGTTAGAGAAGCTCTCGCAGCTTCTCTGGCGCGAAAGCAGGTTCAGATGCACAGCCGATACTCGGGGCGACATGAAACGTCGAACTGTCGAACTGTCGAAGTTGTGGGAAGCTTGCGCACCCTTCTCCCATTCGCAATCAGCACAGAAGGCGTTCACAGTTGAAGTATTTCTTCTCTCTCTCTCTCTCTCTCTCTTCTCTCTCTCTCTCTCTCTCTCTCTCTCTCTCTCTCTCTCTCTCTCTCTCTGACTCCCTCTCTCTTACTGTTCTAACACAAATATACTTCTGGTCACTACGTGCCTCCCCGTCTTTGTAGCCTGGCGTTTGTGCCCCGTTTGTGCCGCGTCCCGTGCCCCCGAGTTCATTTTAATATCCGGAGACCCAGGGATACCCATCACTGAGCGAGCTGCGGCGCACCGTGTTTGTTATGACCCCCCCCAATGAACATACCAGTGAGGGAGGGCGAGACGATCGAGGGGTCCCGTACCACGCGGAATCGGCCCTATCCAGTGCTCAAGTGCTCAAGCTGCGGCGCGGCTTTCGCGAGGGGTCCCAGACCTGGGCACTCCATCAAGGCGTTAATAAAACATCCTGCTGTCTCCGGCTCGCGTGACAAACGCGGACGACCTTCTCTGGCTGGTGCACAACCACCTTGGCGCAACATACGCATACGCAGCCTGCAAGGTTGGCCTCGACGCGCACGCAATCGCGATGCGCGTGATCGTGCAGAAGCTTGGCCTGCTCGAGATCGCGCCCGCTTCGCTGTGCACGGAAGTGGCGCGCGAGGCGTGGCTCGCATCGCTGCAGCACATCCTTGATCAGGTGAGCCGGCCGACTGTGGCCGCTAGTGTGTGAGCAGAGAGTGATTATCGCGCACGCAATCGCGGCGGCCCTCGGCCCTCGTGGTCGTCTTTAGTGTTGCCGATCCGGGCGGGTGTCGGCCGTGCCACGTATGCGTGCTCGGAAAGCGAAGGCGGTACGTTCTACGCTGAAGCCGTATCCGCAAACCAATCCCCGGGGATACCCCCAGCGGCCGCGGTAAAGAGCCGTAGAGTACGGTGAGACTGATATCTAGACCTGATACCCCGCGTCTCGCACGGTCAAGGTCAAGCGGGTCCGGACGATGAGGAAACCAGCCGGATCGCGAGGCCGCAAGCTGGCTCGGCGGCAGCCGCCGGCATGCCGTCTATGTTTTTGCGCGTAGGGCGTATAGCACACGCCATCACGCCACAGTCACGTATACGGTACTATGCTGACGTCTGCTAGAGCACGACAGTATCACGAACCCCAGCCCTCTTTCATCTACACTCTCAGCTCTCACACTCAGATGGTTTGGCGGCGACGGAGGATGGCGGGTTGTTGCAACCCGGAGTGGCTTCAGACTCCACCGTCTCGGCCGTCGCCACCTCACCCGCTTCCATAGCTGCCACAGTCCGTCGGATGGTGCTTTCGTGGCCGACGCCGCACATTGCATCGCGGCAAAAGATGGCTGTTGCCGCGGCCATGACAAACGCGGCGAGGCCGCCGCCAACAGCGAGCATAGGTACGAACCATGATGGCGGGTCTGACTTCTCGCCGCCAGTTGCGACGCCAAACGGCAAAGTGACGCCGATGATGACCAAGGCTCCGACGGCTGCAACTGCCATGATTACAATCCATAGCCGCTGAGAGCAGGTGATCTTTGGCTGCCAAGCCAACCCTCGTGTGGCCTGCATCGTAGCGGGCGAAGCGGGGAAGAAGCCCGGCATTGCGGGGTATGGCAAGCGCCAGGGTTGAGGTTTTGGGCGTGTGTGGTATGGTCTTGAAACAAATGATTCCCGTGCAAGCAGGAAAAGAATTGAAAAAAGAAGACCCTCTCTCACAGCAGACACTATAAAAAGAATTACATATCGGCGGCAAACTAGTTGGAACCGGCTTTCGATTTACTCTGCAACGAACCTCTGGTTTGCTCATGGAGGCCGCACTCACCCCGCCCGGCAACTGAGTCGCCGAGTCCTTGTAGCGCTCGCGTGCCGCACCGCACATCGCGCAAATAGTTAGAGGCTGCGCAGGCCGGCCCGTTGCTGCATGTTTGCATAAAAAACGCCTGCGCGTGCGCGCCGCCGCCCGCGGGGCCGCCGGGGCCCTGCCTCGAGGGCCCTGTCTCAGGTGGCGGCGGCTCGGAATCTTGCGGCTGTAGGGCTTTCGATGTAGGAGGTGCGTGCCTTAGCAGGCGCATCCTCTGCGCCATCTGAGTCCTTCTCGTCGACGGAGGCGGCGTTGGCGGCGTTGGCGGCGGTCCGGAATCTGGATGCCGCGTCGTCGGTCTCCATTTAGAGTTCGCGCGTCCAAGCTCACATCGTGCGTCCCAAGTCCGGTCGCAACGATTTTTTTTTTCACGAACACAGAGGCACAATGCGCACCCCGACCCGATCACAGGGCGTGCATCACCGAGGCGTATTTCTTTTTTCCTCAGTCCCCTAAGTGTAGAAAATGGCCGCGTTTCTCCTCCCTGCCCTCGGCTTCATCGCCGGCCGCGGCTGCCAGCGCTTCGGCTTGCCTCACGCCACGCGCTCCGGGCCGTGGTGCGCCGCTGACGCATCGTCACCTCAAGCGGCGCTGCTCAGCAAGATGCAGGCGATGCTTGAGAGCGGCGCGACAGAGTCCGCGCTGCTCGCGCTGCTGGAGAAGGAGCAGGTCGGGCCGGCCGAGTGCGGCGCACTCCTCGCCGACATTGCGCGCCTTCGCGAGGAGGGCTCCCTGCCGGACGCGGGCGACGGCGAGTTGGGCGATATTGACCTCTCGTTTGGCGTTGAGGAGGAGGAGGAGGCGGAGGAGGGCGTGATCGACCTCGAGCCGGCCGCGGTGGCGCCGACGCCAACGCGCGGCGAGCAGCCGTGGGGCCGATGGGAGAATGGCGAACGGTGTGCGCACGTCCCGCCACTGCTCTCTCTCGTTTGCTCTCCTGCCCTCTGTTGCTCTCCTGAGACCGCGGTGTAGTGAGACCGCGGTGTAGTTGCTCTCCTGAGAGTGGGGCCGCCGGGACAGAGCCACACCTGCGCAGGCAGCAAAGGTGGGCGGCGTGAGCGCGCGCGGTGCCGCGCCACGGCATGCGAGAGCGCCAGGCCGGGCGTACCCCCATCAGCGATGGAAGCTCCAAGCCGGCACACAGCTCCGCGACGACTGTCAGAGAGTAGGTGTTGCCTCTCTCGAGCCTAGGCTCTTGAGGGCCGCGGTGTAGTTGCTCTCCCCACGCGGGTGTAGTGCTTCTCCCCAGTGCTCCGCACTCACCGCACTCGCCCTGCCGGACAGCCTCACCCGAGACCGCGAGAGGGTAGGTGTGCGAGCGTCTCTCTCTACCTCGACGACGCCGTCAAGGGGCGCGACGTCTGCTGCGAGGTGGTGGAGGGCTGGCTGCTGATCCGAATCGACGAGTCGCGCGAGGTCAACGCACACACACACACACACACACACACACACACACACACACACACACACACACACACACACACACACACACACACACACACACACACACACACCAATCACACACACACACACACACACGCGCGCGCGCGCGCGCGATCGGGCCTTGCACTTTGCATGCCGCCGGGCTCGCGTCTTCCCGGACGTGGACTCGCGATGTGCCGACAGGTTGGCCTGGCCGGACCTGACCTGACCTGAGCTGACCGTAGGTGTTGTACGAGGACGGAGTGTGGGGCGGAGAGGAGGAGACAGCCTGCCCATCGCCCGCGCGCAGCCCCCCACGCCACCGCCCGCCGCCGCGCGCCACGAGCGACCGAAGTCTCGCTGATGGGGCATATCTCCCCATATCTCCCCTGATTGTCGTTGACCGGTCCGCCCATACCCCCCATATCTCCCCATATCTCCCCTGATTGTCGTTGACCGGTCCGCCCATACCCCCCATATCTCCCCATATCTCCCCACATCTCCCCACATCTCCCCACATCTCCCCACATCGCCCCTGATGTCGTTGACCTGCCGCCCGCCCGCTCCCCGCGGCGATGAGGAAGCAAACAACTCGTTAGATAGGGACAGATGACGCGTAAAAGCAGATGATTCTGACCATGGCTGTGGTTCTGAGCCGCCTGCCCCCCCCCCCCCCCTGCCCCGCCCGCCCCGCCCCCCTCCCCCCCTCCCCCTCGTTCCCACGAGTGCCAGCCACCGGCACCGCGCCACGCCGGTGTGTAGCCGGCTGTCGGACCCTTCTCGGACCTTTGCCGGACCTTTGCCGGACCCTTGCCGGACCCTTCTCGGACCCTTCTCGGACCCTTCTCGGACCCTTCTCGGACCCTTCTCGGACCCTTCTCGGACCCTTCTCGGACCCTTCTCGGACCCTTCTCGGACCCTTCTCGGACCCTTCTCGCTTCTCGGACCCTTCTCGGACCCTTCTCGCTTCTCGGACCCTTCTCGGACCCTTCCCGGACCCTTCTCGGACCCTTCTCGGACCCTTCTCGGACCCTTCTCGGACCCTTCTCGGACCCTTCTCGCTTCTCGGACCCTTCTCGCTTCTCGGACCCTTCTCGGACCCTTCTCGGACCCTTCTCGGACCCTTCTCGGACCCTTCTCGGACCCTTCTCGGACCCTTCCCGGACCCTTCTCGGACCCTTCTCGGACCCTTCCCGGACCCTTCTCGGACCCTTCTCGGACCCTTCTCGGACCCTTCTCGGACCCTTCTCGGACCCTTCTCGGACCCTTCTCGGACCCTTCTCGGACCCTTCTCGGACCCTTCCTGCAGGTGGTCGACGCGGGCGACGGAGGCCCTCCGCTGCTGTTCGGTCGGCTGGCGCAGCCGGTGGTGGCTGGCGATCTCGAGTGGGTGATCGAGGAGGAGGAAAGGGAGGGGGAGGAGGAGGGAGGTGCGCACGCACGCTGCGCCGCCCCCCAGCCTCCGCGTCTGCAGACTCCCAAGCCCTCCGCGCGTGGCTTCCGAGACACGTCGTAGGCACTTCCTAGACACTTCCTAGAGTTCCTAGACACGTCCTAGAACCGAACCCACGCTGGGTTCGAGATCTCTGGAGGCATGGTACTAGGCGGCGGCGCGGCGCGGCGCGTGCTGACGGTGGAGATGCCCAAGGCCGCCGCTTCAGGGGCTGCCTCTGCCGACTGCATTTTCGACGAGACTTTGGTTGTGGGAGGGGTGCCGTGCCTCGCCCCCGGCCTCAGCCAAGGCGCGGCGACGCCGTGGCCTCCTGCACACACACGCTCTAGGCACTCTCACACAGCTCCCCAGCCACGCTTGTGCTTGGCCTTGCACATTGAGTGTGCCGGGCCAGCTCCCGCCATCCGGGAGAGGCTTACCTTGCCCCCCCCCCCCCCCCTCTTGTGTGTGTGTGTGCGGAGAAGCTTGACCTTACCTAGACCCTACCCCCGGCAGGCGTCCTCACCGTACAGCTGCCGCGGCCGTGCTAGCGCGGGCAAACGGGGTTCGGGGCGGGTGTGTTCGCGCCCCGGTGCTAGTGATTTGCAAGGTGCCCCCATGCACTCGGTGCACGGTGGCATTCAGAAAGGATTCTCCAGCAGTAACGAGTTTTAGCCCGCCCCCCTCACGATTGAATATCGATGTTACGTTAAAAAAAAGTAATATATCTTTACTTCCAAAACCCGGACGTGCCTCCACCGGCACGCCGCTTCCGACAGGGTGATGGAAAAGGTTCGACGCACCCCCGGACTGGGCAGAGAGGTCCCAACGTAAAGACGATTTGGGCACTCCACCCCGCCCCCACTTGCCGCCCTGACTGCACAGGATAGCGTGCCCCGACGAACGGCGACTAATATCGATGTTACGTTAAGGCCCCGGGACCATGTGTGGACGAATAGATTCCTCGTCCTCGTCCCCGGAAATCCTAGGGGTCTTATCGAGGATCAGATTTGCTGGAAGGGGGGGCAGCCTGAATCCAGGCACGTACAACGTGATGCGGTGCGCATGGCGTCGTCGTGGAGTAGAGAGAGAGCGCGCGACCACGCCCCACCGGGAGCAGTCACTCGAGTGTATCGTTTTGGTTGATCTACCATCTACGAGCTAGGACATTTTGTGGGGAGGGATTCGCTCATCGCTCACCCCTCTGCCAGCTCCCACGATTTAAACTCCTCACACCGCGTCATCCACCAGACACTGTCCCTCATCAGAGCGACGGAGCGCAGCGCAAAGGCCTGCAGCTCGTCGTCGTCGGTGCCAATCTGCTCTCGGAGCGGCGTCGCGTGGAAAGCCCGCACCGCCGCCGCGATCGCCGCCGCCTGCTCTGGCCGCAGCCCCTCCGCCCGCCCGAGCAGCCGGCCCAGCGTGACGTGGAGCAGTCTCTTTGGGCGCGAGGTGAGCATTCCCAACGCGTCGCCGCCCGCACGCGCGCACGCCTCGCGCAGCGCAGCGGCGCAGCCTCGCTCGTCGTCGACAAAACCCGCGATAAGGGCACCGTCGGCGCACACGCACAGCGAGTCGAGTACGAGACGTGGCGCATTCATCGGCGCGGTGCGCGCCGCCACTGCCTCGCCGACCGCTTTCGCCTCGCTCGGCTCGACGCGGCGCCACCGCTGGCGCGTCGCCTCATCGATCAGGCTCGGGTGCTCGTGAAAGACGGCGACGCACATGTGCCACGTCCGCTCATCGGCCATGAAGAGCAGCTCGTCGAGCGAGTCACGCTGCCGGCCTAGGAGCATGCTCCACGTGCTATCTGTGTCATGCAATGGCAAATCGAAGCAGTCGCCAGGCACCCGCGTCAAGCGCCGACCGGACTGGCGCGAGGACGCAGCGGTCAAAGGCCTGGCGGCACAGCCGCAGCACGCGGACGGCCTGCGAGTTTTGAGCAAGCATCGCGTAGCAGCCAATCGGACCGTCGCCGTCGGAAAAGGCGGGCGGCTGGTAGCGGCCGCTCTCGTCGCGGCAGCAGTGCGCCCGCACCCCGTCCGCCTGCGGCCACGATTCAGCCGCGGCGTCGCACCGCACGCGGATGTCGGCGTAGGCGTCGCTGAGGCCCATGTGTTACACGACCGAAGGCTCCTTGAACGATATCGGTGTCGAAACACCGCTCTGACAGCGCTCTCTCGAGGTTCTCGAGGTGGATACTCTACACCATAGTAGCGTGCACGCTACTATGAACAGAGAAACCCATAAAAGTCGCCGCGGCAGTCCACGACGAGCCAGCCTGCTGCCGGCTCGCACGGCAGCCTCTTCCTCTCGACCAGCCTCAACTTCCGTACAGTCAACATTTTGTCGCTGCGTGCTCGTGGCGAGCTGTGGCGGCGGTCGAAGTTGGCCCAGATTCGGTGACGAGCGCCGGACGATAGTAGTGCCTCTGTTCGCCCTGTGCATGTCAGGCCAGGCTGCAGCAGGGCACTACCACCGTGCTGCCCTGTTGCAGCCTGACTTTGCCCACTGTGCACAGCCGCCAGAGCACCACCACCGCCCGGCATCGTGTCACGGCGAGCTCCTTCTGCGCCCGCTCGCGAGGCTCTCGCGCTGGCACACTTTGGCCATCTGCTGCTCGCGTTCGGCGAGCTCTTCTCCGCACTCCTGCCACGGCGCCGTCACCACACACCTTCTGGCTGGCCTGAGCCGCGCGGGGTCGCCGGCGGGGGCAACGCGTCGACCTCTCTCTCTGGTGCACCACGGGCCGCGACGGCCTGCGAGCAGCTGGCACGAGGAGGCAGTGTGCCGGCACAGTCGAGCCGGAGCATCGGGTTCTTGATGCTTGTGGGGTCAAGTTTGACCTTATGTGGCATAATATGCAACAATAATGCTATGCTATCTCCCGGCTTTTTGAGATATGATCCCTCAAAGTCGAATTTTCGTTTACTGGAGAGAGAGAGATTGTTTGTTTACTGGTGACCATAGTAGTGTCTGGCCTGTTTGCGTTTCTTCAAACGAATCCTTTAAAGTCTCGACAATCACCAAGCTGCTTATGTGGCACCGCAGAGGCTCCCTTGGGGATGCCTGAGGCCACCCCAACCACTCACCAAGCCTTACGTGGACGAATTCAAACCTACTTTTATGGTTTACCCACACTAAGCGAGTATCCTTTGGCCGCGTTGGGTAGCGAGGATTGGTGTAACCCGAGCCACGGAGGCGTGTTTTCTGACGGCCGACCGTCAGTGCACGGAGTTGCCCCTTCTCCGACAGCGCTCACAGCTGCGCCGGTTATTCACACCTCGGCAGTGTGCCATATACACACATATCATATCCGGTGTATTTTATTTTTGCTTGGGCGGACTCTCGAGGTTCTCGAGGTGGATATCCTTTGGCCGCGTTGGGTAGCGAGGATTGGTGTGACGCGATCCACGCAGGCGTGGTTTCTGGCGGCCGACCGTCAGTGCACGGAGTTGCCCCTTCTCCGACTGCCCCGGCTAGTTCCCGAGGTCGTCGGGAGTGTCGATCGGGAGTGACCCCTTCGCCGCCCGAGACCTAGCGCGGGTGGGTTGGAGGGGGGCTCGCTGCAGGGAAGGGCTGTGTAAGAAGCCGATCCCTGTAGTCCGCCCCGCCCCTCCCCATCGGGCCGCATGAGCGGCCACGCCTCGCAGATTCGTTTTAACTTCCATCATTGGTGGGGCGTGAACGATCGAGCGGCGGTTGGGACACGCGACGCTATGTTCGACGTGCACATGAATCGCAGCGCAGAACTGCACACCTTCCTGAGTGCGCAGCCCCTGCAGGAAAGGGCCAGACGCTTTCAAAACAGCGAGACGTTCCTGTGCAAGTACCTGGTTGCCCAGAAGATTGAGGTCGAGGTGCTGGCGCACGTGTGCATTGTGCGTGTTCGTAGCGACGGCCATTGCTCCGAAACTGAATTTAAGGCGTCTGCGGAGGCACCCACATGCATGGGCAAGCTCTATAACCAGCGAGATGGAGTGCCGACCCAGGGCCACGGGCCGTGCAAGCGCCGGAGCTGCAAGGCAGACTTGATACCGAGGCGTAGGCTCAACTACACACACACTCACACAAACTAGAGGGTTCAGTGAGAAAAGAATTCCCAAAACGCGAGAAAAAGAAAACAACGATCACGGGCGGCTCGGCCAAGCACAGCGTCTTCGCTCGACTCCACCACAGCGATTTGGGCCGCCCACCCATGAACGAGGACGAGAAGCTGGCTGCGGCTCGCGCGCGAATTTTTGGGACGCGGCAGTACCGGCTTGCTCCAGCGCTCACCTTCGCCTTCCTGAGCTGCTATATGTGGTACGTGCGTCCACTATGACCGCATGTGTACACCGTTCCGTCGCGTGACTCGCCGACGCTGCGCACAGGTATGTCTACTACGTGGAGCGTCCTAACAACGAGCGGCTCGCCGCATCCAACCCCGTCGTCGGAATGGTAGTCATATGTCCCACGAGTTGTACGCGCTCCTCAACCCGGCAAAGCCGCCTCCTGGCGTCGTGAGCGTGCACGAAGCGAGTGGTCGGCAGTTGATGGCGGATGGGTCGATACGCAGACCGGACCGGTGAGGCTCTGGCAGAAAGACAAGGTACCTCTTGGAAGCTGTGCGCACAAAAAGTCCGTTGTCTCAGCCATGTCAGTCGCCATGTCAGTTCTGTTCGCCGTTGTGTCGGTGCCCAGAGAGTGTGGAACGGCCACTTGCTGACAGGCGGCGCGGTGGGCGCCACCGACATCTATTTTTTTGAGATCGGTGGCAGTAAAACATCCCCTCCACCGCTGAGAAGGCGCACGGGTCGGGGACAGTGAAGGAGCGGCAGCCGCGCACTCCGCCCAGGGCCACGGGCCGTGCAAGCGCCGGAGCTGCAAGGCAGACTTGATACCGAGGCGAGGCTCAACTAAAACTAGAGGGTTCAGTGAGAAAAGAACTCCCAAACCCGAGAAAAAGAAAACAACCCCACGCGGCTCGGCCTGCACAGCGTGTCTTGTCTTGTGGTTCTGTGTGTCGCTCCTGTGTGACCGTCATCGCCCGTCTAGCGTCCACCCATACCGCGTTGGTGTCCCAGTCGTTGGTCGGACTGTGTTTCGCCTTCCCATCAATCAATCAACAGCGTCTTCGCTCGACTCCACAGCGATTTGGGCCGTCCACCCATGAACGAGGACGAGAAGCTGGCTGCGGCTCGCGCGCGAATTTTTGGGACGCGGCAGTACCGGCTTGCTCCAGCGCTCACCTTCGCCTTCCTGAGCTGCTATATGTGGTACGTGCGTCCACTATGACCGCATGTGTACACCGTTCCGTCGCGTGACTCGCCGACGCTGGCACAGGTATGTCTACTACGTGGAGCGTCCTAACAACGAGCGGCTCGCCGCACTTGGAGTGTAGTGGCGATTTTTTCTTCTTTGGGGAGCATTTTGTTTGTTGGTCTTTGTTCGACTTGTAGACGCGAGAGCTCCCGCCGGGCAGCGGCATGTCGCTCGGCTACGCCGACCGGCTCAAGGAGTATCCCCACAAGGGCGTGTGCGGGCTCCCCGAGAAGCAGGACACCGAGCGTCAGCTCCAGCTCTCGCTCCGCACGCTCGTCGACCTCGTCTCGTCGGCGGAGCACCTCGTCGTGCTGACGGGCGCCGGCATCTCGACCGCCGCGGGCATCCCCGACTTTCGCGGCCCGGACGGGATCTGGACGACGCAGAACGCGCTCGAGCGCGCCGCCGCCGGCAAACCCAAGGCGGGCGCCAAGCGCAAGCGCAAGCCAAAGGCGGGCGCGGCAGCGGGCAGCGGTGCGGCAGAGGGCGGAGCGGCTGCGCCGCCCGCCGAGACGCGCTCGGGCGCGATCGACTTTGCGTCCGCGTCGCCGACGCTGACCCACCACGCGCTCGCCGAGCTTGCGCGGCTCGGCAAGCTCAAGTACGTCGTCACGCAGAACGTCGACGCGCTGCACCAGCGCTCTGGCCTGCCACGGAGCAAGCTGGCGGTGCTGCACGGGTGCATCTTCGAGGAGAGGTGCGAGGCGTGCGGCGCCCTGTACCTCCGCGAGACCGACGTGGGGACCATCTCCTTCCAGCCCACCGGCCGCTACTGCACCAGAGTCGGAGAGGCGGCGGGTTCTGCCGCGTGCGGCGGCGTGCTGCGCGACACGCTGCTCGACTGGGAGGACCCGTTGCCAGAGGCGGAGCTCACTGAGGCGGAGAGGCATTGCGAGCGAGCGGACCTGATCCTCGCGCTTGGCACCTCGCTCCGGATTGAGCCGGCGGGATCGCTGCCGTGTCGGCACCGGCGCGGCGGCGGGTATGTGATAGTCAACCTGCAGCGAACGCCAAAGGACTCCAAGGCGAAGCTGATCGTGCGCGCGCCCGTGGACCGCGTGATGGCCGCCCTAATGCGCGAGGTCATGGGGCTCGAGCTCGAAAGGGGTGCCGCTGGAGCGAGGTGGGTCGCCACCGGCACCGGCGGCGCGGCCACCGGCGGCGCGATGCCGGAGGCGTCCTCCCTCACCGCCGGAGCCGGTGGCGCGCCAGCCTCTGCTCCGGTGGCTGAGGGATGACGGCGGGCCGAGTCCAGGGTCGGGTGGCCGCGATGCTTACACCGCTGCCCTCGTCTCCTCCGCGTTTGCCGCTGGGCGCCCGCCCAAACCCGAGAGCTCTGCCTCAGATCGCCGCTGCGAGCCCCCCGCCCCCCCCACCCCCACCCCGGTTTGGGGGCGACGGCCCTCTCAGTCTCACAGTCAACACCGGGCAAGCCCATGTATCCACCGTTGGTAAGGTAAGGTAAGGACTAAGGTAAACTTCTCCACACACAAAAGGTGGTGGCGGGGTGGGGGGCGCTAGTCGACCGGGTCCGGCTAGCTCGGCCGCGCCGTCCGCGGGCGACCCTCGCGTCTCCACGTCTATGCCATATTGCATATAGAGGAGCCTCCCCACTCCCCACGGCTTCGTTTAAAAGTGCTTGCACAAGGGCCCTCGCCGAAAATTAGATAGACAGGACGAAGGGGACGAAGGCGACGAATGACGTGATTAGAGATAGAAAGGCTCCAGCTCATATCTAAGGAGAACTTGGAGAAGCGCAAAATCAAGGGAAAAGAATTTTACTCTGCAAGGAAAAAGAATAAAAAGAATTACCGCGCCCATCGTTGCACAAACAGTGCAACGACACGCCCTGGTGCTCTCACTTTCGTCTGTTGCTTTCGCTTCATGATTCCCCTGCAGGCCTTCGTCCTCCTCCTCAGCCTGTGGTCGGCTGCTTCCTTCAGCACGGCGCCAGGGTGCCTCGAAATGTGGGCTGAATGCGAGGCGGACTCCGACTGCTGCGGCAGTGAGCCGTCGAACGAGAACCACGCCACCTTCAAGGGCTGCAAGATGGGCTCGGGCCAGCCAGCGGCAGAAGGCCATCCGGGCATGTGCTGCGACGAGTCCGACTGGATGCGGTGCTCTTAAGCCACGCGTGCTAAACCGCGTTTGTGACACGGTTGGAAGTCCTCGCCGAGCCCCTCCCGAAAGGTGCCGCTGTTGATGGAAGCGCAGGATGGGGTTCGGGATGCACTGTACCTGCTGCCTGGTCTGTGCTTTGTCGTTTGTGGATTGTGGATTGTGCCGGTTGGCGCGCACCTCTGTGGAGTCGTGCTCGGTGTGTGACTGTACCGGGAGTTTATAGCGGAGGCTCCACACCGAGGGGGTGCCGTGTGTCCGAGCGTGTCCCCCCCCCTGAAGGGTTGTTGGTAGGGTAGTAGACCTGCTCCCAGGCGAGGGCTGAACTAAGCCCCCGGAAGGAGACGGGCTCAAACTTAGACGCTGGTGTTCGGACTCGCGAACTTAGACGACACGAGGCGGCCAGAGTTCCGGGTCTCTGGCTCTCTGCAGCCCCCGGCCCCCCGCCCACGGCCCATCCACACGCATAGCCCAGCCAGGCCGCCCGGTCCGGCCCGCGGATCAAAAGTGTAAACCCTGGATAGCACCCTATGCAGGTGCCGGGAATCATCTATTCACCCGCCGTTGCCCCGCGCCTCTTCGATTCTCTCCAGGCGCTGAGCTCGACGTCGCCGCCGCCCGCGCGCATCGGGTCGGAGGATGCGTCCGCGTACTGACGGATATGGTGGCCGCCATCGCAGTCGAGCACGACGCCCGTGACGAAGGGCGCGCTGACTAGGTAGTAGAGCGCCTCGCCCATGTCGCTCGGTGCGCCCACGCGCCGCAGCGGCAGCGACGCCGCCGTGTTGGCGAGCATCGCCGCCTTGCGCTCCGCCGGCATGTGGTCGAAGCGCTCCGTATCGCAGAAGCCCGGCGACAGACAGTTGACGCGCAGCCGCGGCCCAAACTCGAGGGCGAGCGCACGCGTCAGGCCCTCGAGCGCGCCATTCACCGCCGCCAGAGGAGAGCAGTTCATGCCCGGCCGACGGTTGAGCAGACCAGCGGTGAGCGCGACCGCGCCGCCGTCAGCGAGCCGCGGCGCGAGGTGCTTGCAGACGTTGTGAGCCGTCCAGAACTTGGAGTCGAACAGCGCGGCCGTGTCGGCCGTGTCAAGCTCGCCGATCGGCCCGTGTGGCGCCCTGCCGGCCGCCGTGCAGATCAGCGCGTCCCAGCGACCCTCGAGCTCCTCACCAAACGCCTTTACGGCTGCCTCGTCGCGAGCGTCGAGCACTCTAGTCGTCAGCTGGGCGTCCGGTACCTCACGACGAATATCGTCGGCAGCCGAGTCGAGCTTGGCCTGTGTCCGGCTCGCCAGAAGCACGCTGCCGCCGCGAGAGGCGACGGCGATGGCCGCGGCCCTGCCCATGCCACTCGAGCCGCCGATGACGATGGCGCTAGGCGGCGCAAGCGTGCTCGCGAGAGAAACCGGTAGCCAGCACGATAGCATCGTGAGCGTGATGGTGTCGACGCCAGGCCCTCTTTGCTCCGTCACCGACATTCACATAAACGTAAAGAGAGACGTCACCCACATTCACAAGAGAGAGCTGTCGGAGACGTCTTTTGAAATCTTGAAGGCAAATGAGACGTTTGTGAGAGGGGGCCTAAACCCTCCCGCGCGGCCGCGACGGCCGACGCGCGCGCAAGCCACTCAGCACTCTCGCCGCCGCCCGTCTCGCGCGACACGCTCGCGCCGGCGCCCACTCTCGAGCCCGCGCACGTTCTCCGTCTCTCTGACTCTGTCTCTCTGTGAATGTGATCTCTCGACTGGACGCCGGCGCGTTCATCAACGAGGTGTACCTGGTAACTACAACGGTGGCGCCTGTGCTGGCGGGAACCGCGGATCGGAGGGGAAACGCCCACGGGCGCGCGTGGCGGCATTGCGCGCCTTGCGGCGCTGAACATCCGCCCTCCACGCCGCCTGTGCCGCTTCCTCTGGCGCCACCCCAGCCGGTTGCAAACTCATGTGACCGCGCGCAAACGCGTCCCTCGTCTGGCGGCGCTGCAGGTCCGCGCGCCACGCCTCGGCCTCGGCCGACCGCAGCAGCGGCCGATCTGCCCGCCCGCCCACCCCGCGCGCAAACGCGTCTCGCGTCTGGCGGCGCTGCACCTCCGCCCTCCACGCCGCCTGCGCCGGCGGCTCGGGCACAGCCTCCGAGGCAGGCGCCGCCGCCAGCCTAGCGATTGCTCCGGGGCTAGCGTGCGGGGGGTGCCGCAGAGGCACGGAGGGCGATGGAGGAGGGCCCGTCCGAAAGGACCGCCGGTCCCGCGGTGTGCCGTCCGGCATCCTCCACCCCACGGGCGGCGTCAGAGGAGGCACGGGCAAGCGTTCAGCCCCGGGGAAGCGCGATGCCTCCGGCCTCACCGGCAGCCGCACCTCTGCCGAAGCCGCGTCTCGCGTCTGCATCTCCGCCCTCGCCGCCTCTTTCGCCGCCGCCTCCGCCGCCTCCGCCGCAACTTTCGCCGCCACCTGCGCCGCCTTCGCCGCCTCCCTCGCCGCCGCCGCCTGCACCGCCTGCGCCGCCGCCGCCGCCTGCACCGCCTGCGCCGCCGCCGCCGCCTGCGCCGCCTCCCTCGCCGCCGCCTCGGCTGCATGCCGCTGGGCGCCGCGGCGGTTGGCGCCCGAACGCGAGAGCTGCGGGGACATCACTGGGCGCCGCCGCCCTTGCGCGCGTGAGAAGGCGTCCCTCCGCCCTCTCCGCTCCCCGTCCGCAAGCCAGGCCTACGGGACGCGTCTCGGACGTGTCCTGGGCGTGTCCTGGACGTGTCATGGGGACAAGCTTCGCCACTCAGCCGCGCGCCTCCGCCTCCGCCCCCGGAAGGCCGAGCGCGGCCGCGGCCTGCGGCGACCGCAGCGGAGGCCCCGAGGGGGTGGGTGGCGGGATCGCCTTCGGCGTGGCCAACACCCGACGCGAAGGCCGCACGACTCCGGCTCGGGGCAGAGAGCCCTGTGGGGCGCCGCGCGCCAGCTCGTTTGAGGGCGCGGGCTGGCGAGGCGCCCCCAGCGGTGGGGCAGACGACGGCAGCGGCGGCGGCAGCGGCGGCGGCAGAGGCGGCGGCAGCGGTGGGGGCAGGGGCGGCAGTACGGGTCGCGGCAGCACGGGTCGCGGCAGCACCAGAGGCGGCGTGGGCGGCGCCGGCGGCGGTGGCGAGGGCGAGGGCGGCGAAAGTTGCGGCACAGGTGGAGGGGCAAGGGAGGGGTGTTTGTATGTCGACATGCCGGTCACGGTGTTGTACCAGTAGGGGTGGCCCGCCGCCGTTTGTTTTGCCTTCCACGGAGGCGGCACATCGGCAGCGTCGACGGCGTTGGCTTGGAGCGCCATGCGGACCCGCGCAGGTCTGACCGCCGCGTCCCTGGTGCCCGGCTGCCACGCCGTCAGCGCGATCAGCATCGTCGCCGAGAGAGGTGAGCTTGAGCTCGCTTGCTGAAAGATGGATGGCCGGAGGGATTGGGCAAAGCTCACGCCGTAGCGCGGGGTGTTTCTTTTTCAGAGAGTCGAAAATAACAAGGAAAAAGGGAAGAGACATGCATTGAAAAAGTTTTCCTTGTTTTTCAGCCGACAGGAATTCCCCCCACGGACTGCCCGATGGTTTTCGCTCGCCGACGGCTCCTCCCTCGCGCTGTCGCCGCGTTTGGAGGCGGAGCAGCTCTAGCTTCCTTCGCAGCCAGTGGCGCACTAGCCTCGCGCACAGCAGAGTGCAAGACGGAGGGCACCCCGTGGTCAAAGGTCAAGGAGGATCTTGCAGCGCTGTACGAGGACGAGGATGCCCTCAATCCCTCAGTGGACGCGGCTGACGGCGCCAAGGGGGGCGGCGGCTACGTTGCTCCGATGATGGTGCGGCTCGCATGGCACAGTGCCGGCTCGTTCAGCGCCAAGGACGGTTCGGGCGGCACGGAGGGCGGGACCATCCGCTTTGAGCCAGAGATCAACCACGGCGGCAATGCGGGCCTGAGACCGTAGCATGCGAAAACTAGCATCCGATCATGCACGCTTGCGGCTGCAATTCTCAGTCGCTCTGCTCAGCAGCCAATCACGATCGTAGACAAGAAATGTCGCGCGTAGGCCTCTGCCACGCGCTCAAGCTGCTGGAGCCAATCAAGAGCAAGTACCCGGCCGCGTCGTGGGCCGACCTGATCGTCTGCGCCGGCGCCGTCGCCATCGAGTCGATGGGTGGCCCGCTTCCGAGATGTTAGAACGCCCGAATTCACCCGAGACTGCGAGAGAATACCCGAGATTTGTTGCTTCTCGACCTCAGAGCTCCCGTTGCCTCGTATCCAGACGCACTGCTCAGCATGCAGCACGAGACCATGCGCTCACATCCAACCTTTAGTATGCTGATGACGTAGGTGGGCCAGTCATCGGGTTCCGTCCAGGCTGCCACCGTCAGCCCGCCCCCGAGCCAGCGCCACTCAGTGGGATGAACGAAGCATCCGCGACACGCCCGCGACACGCCCGCGACACGCCCGCGACACGCCCGCGACACACCCGCGACACGCCCGTGACGCGTCCGGACAAGTCCACGACAAGGGCACGACAAGCGCACGACGCATCCACGACATGTCCACGACACGCCCGCAAAACGTCCAACAGGGAGGAGCGATGCGCCGAAGCCAAACGTGGCGCCGGCGAGCGACAAGCGCTTCACTCCAGACGACCGGCTGCCCGACGGCTCGCTCGGCTAGATGGCACACGGGTCCTTCGAGTGAGCATTCCCAAGTCTCACGTACTCGGCTGTACTATGACACGGTGTAATGCAGCCTAATAAGCAGTGAGAGAGGGGCCGCTGATGATCGTGTAATTGTCGAATCCGTTGAAGGCACTGCTCACGAGGACACCCCGCTTCCTGTCTCCACATCGGGTTGTGCTCTCCACATAGGCGCGCTCGGCGCCGCCCATCTCCGCGATGTGTTCTATCGGATGGGCTTCGACGACCGAGAGATCGTGGCGCTCTCGGGCGCGGGGACATAGATGCCTCAGCCCTCTCCGATTCGCACTCGATAGAAGCGCGTTCAACGGTTTGCAGCTGTCTTGCAGCTGTCTTGCAGCTGTCGTGCAGTTGTCGTGGAGCTGAGTTGGCTGTATCTGTAGCCCACGGCTTCGCGCGCGATGCTGTGAGCACACGGCACGAGACCGTAGTCACGGCTCGGCGTGTGTTGCAAACGTCAGGCGCGCACGCGGTGGGCCGCTGCCACACCGACCGCTCCGGTTTCTGGGGGCCGTGGAAGCGCGTGCAGCCTCTCTCCCTCCCTCTCTCCCTCCCTCTTTCTTTCTCCCTCTCTCCCTCCCTCCCTCCCTCCCTCTCCCTCTCCCTCTCCCTCTCCCTCTCTTTTACTCTCTCTCCGGCCTGACCGGGCCCGACGCACGCCTGCCGCATAGGTACGGCGAGAACGCATTCTCCAACGAGTACTACACGTTTCTGCTCGAGAAGACGTGCACGCGGAGGACGACGAGCTCCTGCCCGCCCTTCTCTTTCCCCTCCACAGCTCTCTCTTCTGTAGGTGGACGCCAAAGACCACGCACGGTGCCCCCTCAGCGCACTGCCCCGTCGCCGGTTCGTGGAAGGGTCCGATGCAGTATGAGGCGCCGATGTCTCGTGCACCCCGGCTGCACCTCGGCTGCACCTCACCTCGGCTGACCTCGGCTGCACTTCGAATGCACCTCGGATGCACTTCGAATGCACTTCGAATGCACTTCGCATGCACATCGGATGCACCTCGTATGCAACATCTGTTGGCACCTCGGATGCACCTCGGATGCACTTCGACTGCACTTTGAATGCACCTCGGTTGTGCCTCGGCTGGACCTCGGCTCCGTATTCAGGCGGGGCGGTTGAGGGCAGAGGGCGACGCGCGTAGGCGGACGGCGGCGCACTGATGATGCTCCCGACCGACGTGGCCCTCATTAAGGACGCGGCTTTCAAAAAGCACGTCGAGGCGTACGCCGCCGACGAGGAGCTCTTCTTCCGCGACTTTGCGGCCGCGTTCCTCAAGCTGCTCGAGAATGGGTGCGACCTGAGCAAGGAGGCGTTCGTCTAGCCAAGCTCGCGGCGGTCGTGCTGGCTGCTGCGGCTTTAGGGACGGTATGGTGGAATAGCCGCGTTAGGCTTAGGGCTGCGTGAATGCAGTCTTTTTCGTTGGAGGACGTTGCGTGTCCGTGTTTCCGCGGGGAGGGGCGGTGTCTCGTCCACTCGTCGCGTTCTCTCTGGAGTCTGGTGACTCGATACAGTCAGTTGCAGCACACCGCGCGCTAATACGCGTTGCGGCTTCGTGTTGATTTTATACGTCTCACTCAACTCGTTCGGAGGTTGGGCCACGGCGGGCTGCCCCCGACACGGCGCGGAACAGCAGCTGGAGCGGTGCCGTACCCGCTTGCGGCGAGCCGCGCCCCGCGTGGAACGTCACGTCAAAGTGCTGATGGAAGGGCAAGCCAAGTATCCAGAGGTGCGGTCGGCGGAGCATCGGCACCGCCGTCTCGCGCAGGCAATCCGCCGGGGAGGCTGCCGAGCCGCATCCGTGCGAGAGCGGCACCAGCAGTCGCCGCTCCCCGCGCAAGGAGCCGGCGAGAACCTCGAGCGACGCCGGCGCGTGCGCGCAAGCGAGTAGACTGGATCGCAGCCGGGACGGCGCGGCGGTGTGTGTGGCCCCCGTGTCGAGCTGCACCTCACCGAAGAAAGAAGGGCCGGCGGCGTCTGCCTCGCTCCCCCACGCTCGCCTCCACCTACAGGGCGCGCAAGCGCGCGGTGCGAGGCGCCCTACCCGGCCTCAAGGATGCGCTGAGGGCAAGGGCGAGACGCTAGAGATGGGGAGGGCATGTGAGTGGAAGGGCGAGGCGTTAGAGATGGGGGGGGGGGGCAACTGGGTGACGGTCGGTGAAGACACGGCAAGCGGCGCGGGTCTGGGAGAGGTCTGGGAGAGGCGACCGGAAGGCGAGGCGGGCGTCGAAGCTCCAGTGGCGGCGCTGCGCCTCGAGGCGGAGGGGCGACGCGCCTGCGGATACGATGGCACGCGCCGAATGTCTTCCGGATGCGAGCGGGGAGCAGGAGTTCGCATCTCGGTCATCCCGCCGCCGACAGAGAGACCGACGCGCAGTTCGAGGGAGCGCGCCTACCGCAGCGCAGCGCGCAGGTGCCTGCTGGGGCGGCGTGGCTAGCGCACAACGGCTGCGGTGGTGCGTGGGACCGCGATGGTGATGGACGGACGGTCGCGCACAGCCCGCAGCAGCGGCCAGAGAGCGGAGGTTGCTGCAGGAGACAGGCTGAAGACGCCACGCTGCGCGCCGCTCTCGCCAGCACCCGCGAGCGCCGGATCCTCACGGATGGTCGTGGCAGCGCCAATCTGCTGCCGCCAGCGGAGTCTGGTCTGGCCGCAGCCGGCGCAAGCGGCACGCGCGGAGAGCGACAGCAACGTGGAGCATCGCACGCCCGCGACGTGCGTTCCGTCTGCGTATACGATCGAGAAGTTCGAGCCCGTGGGCCGACAGCTTCGGGCGCTGCGGCCTGACAGCGAGAGGCCAGGCCCTCGTCCGAGCCCTCTCGCTGGAAGCCAGGTGAGAGCAGAGCCTGTGTCGACCAGAGGGCGAAAGGAGGCCACCCCGCCGGCGGCGAGACGCAGGCGCAGGCCGCCGCCCGAGTCGACAAGCCTCACCACGAGAGGGTGCTCGCTAGACATCACGACACGCGAAAGAAGCGCCGACACGTTCGCGAGGGGGAGCTTGAGCGTCGGGTCGCGCGAAGGGTTCGAGACGTGCAGTGGCTTGGTTCTCGACCTTCTCGAGGTTGATATCCTTTGGCCGCGTTGGGTAGCGAGGATTGGTGTGACGCGATCCACGCAGGCGTGTTTTCTGACGGCCGACCGTCAGTGCACGGAGTTGCCCCTTCTCCGACTGCCCCGGCTAGTTCCCGAGTTTCGCGGGAGTGACCCCATGCGTCAAACCCGAGACCTAGCGCGGGTGGGTTGGAGGGGGCTCGCCCCGTTCCTCCCCATCGGGCCGCGTGAGCGGCCACGCCTCGCAGATTCGTTTTCGCGCCTGGGTCAGGCGCGCGGGGCATCCCCCGGGTCGCTCCACGCTCGACCATCGCGCATTGAGAAGAAATACCTCGCGGTTGCCCGGGCCGGGCGCTGAGGTTGAGTGCGAGCAATGCATACGTATACGCCTAGTTGCACCTCAGATCACTCGCCCGCGTCCCCCCGTCACCCGTGCTCTGCCGTCGGATTTGTGACTCGCCGCACCGCGCCGCGGCCGGGGGCCCTTCGGTCATTTTTTAGCAATACCAAACAACTCAACACGTGTTTGTTTTCAGTTTTGTCCCTTCGGAGGCCGAGGATGGCCGTGGCGGACCGGGACGAGCTGCCTCTGGGAGGTAAAGTGTCAGTGTGTATATTGTATTAGACGGGATGAGTTTGAGAGAGAGATTTTTAGCAATACCAAACAACTTGTTGAGTTTGACGGAAGGGTGAGGCGAGGGGGGGGTGGCGGGTGGATCACGAGGAGGTAGAAATTCGGGCGCGAGCATGTGGACGAACGGCGAGCGGGCGAGGCGCGGGCGGGGGGGTGACGAAAGGGGGGAGGTGGCCGATAGTGTCGCGGGCAGTGGCGAGTGTGGGGCGGCAAGCGACGGGCGGGTCCGCGACCTTTTGAGCGGCCGTGAGCCGGCCGAGAGGCCAGCGATGGTTGCCTTGGCCTGAGCGCCCTCTCGGCGAGAACAAACGGGCTGAGCATCGGTCAGAGCGTGAGTGAGAGGGAGGTGGTCGTGCGCTCACTTTGTCGGCCGCTCGCGAGGTGATCACTGTGTGTGAGGCGCGCAGGAGGCGAGCGGGCGGGCGCGCCGGTGGTCGGGTACCGCGCGCTGGCCTGCGGCTGCAGCGAGCCGGCGGCTGGCGCGGCGAAGGCGGGCAGCGTCGCGGGTGGCGCCACCGGCTCGAGGTGGGGTCCTGAGGTGGCTTCAGCCTGGTCCGCTCAAGCGGCACGCTCGCCGCGCCCGCGAACAGCCACCTGTGGGCGGTCACCGGGGTGGCGGTCAAGCGCTGCCAGGGTTGAATCCGGTGCGTCTCGTATCACTGGTGGGCTGGGTGTGCAGCAGCAGCGCTCAAAAAGAGGCAAAAAACTCGACAGCTACTTTGAGTGTCAGCTCTCTCGACGCACCGTCCTCGGCGCTCGGGCCCCTCGAAAAGCTGGCTGGTGGTCGCGCGGGGCGCGTCGGCGCCGCTCCAACTGGTTCGGCACCTCGGCTGGGTCCATCAGCACGAGCCCCGCCACGTGGGGCAGCCCCGCGAGCGCATGGGCGGCCGGCGCGAGCGTTCACACGAGCGAGGGCGGTCGAGTGCACGGAGCTAAGTGCCTCGCCGTCCTCGCGGGAGTCGCTTAGGCGGCTCCCGTGGTGTACCTGTGTTAGTGCCAGTGCGCGCCAGTCCCGTGCCCAGTGTCGTGTGGTTTCAAATTCTTTTTTTCCAAACCGAGCATACTCTTGCCGGCATGTTTCGCCGCGCTTGCCGACTGCCGCACCGCGCCATCGCGGGCAGGTTGGCGGCCGAACCGTCCGCCCTCTGCCTCCAGCGTCACTTCTGCATGCCACCGCTTGCCTCACCCGACGACATCCGTAGTGTCAAGGGCGGGGCTCTGCTTTTAGACCTGCGCACGCCAGAGGAGATCATCGAAACACCCGGACCGGACGGAGCGCTGACTTGGGACTTTCGGTCAGATCCGACGGTGCCAGAGTATCTACTCCCTGACGACAAAGAGACGCCAATCCTCCTTTACTGACGGTCGGGAGGCCGCGCTGAAAAGGCCAAGGCGCTGCTAGAGGGCCGCGGCTACACACGTGTCTTGAACGGCGGCGGCAACACGACTGCCCCTCAGTGGGACGCCCTTCTCGAGTGAAGGCTCGCGACGTGCGCGATTCGGCTCGGTGCGAGCGCCCTCTCCATGACGACTCTGCGCGCAGGGCCTGCCAGCGGCTCGTGCGGGGCCCGATGAATGAGTGTCGCGACCGGGTCACTTCGTAAATAGCGCATCCAGCAGCAAAAGACGGCGCGCAGAAGAGAGCTCTTGCGCTGAAAGCGGAACGCGCCGTGGCTGGGAGCGGACTAGAGGCAAGTGCCCGGCCCCCCCCAGGCGCCTCGAGCGGGGTGCGTGTCTGTCACTCTCTGCGCGTGTACTGTGTACTCAAGACGTGTGCAAGACTAAGGACTGGAGGTGAGGCCGACGAACACGATCGCTCGCGATCGTGAGACACGTTCATTCACACCCACACACCACACACAGTCACCACCAGGGCACACTCCACACAACACGGAGCCTAGGCGGCCCGCCATGAAATCTAGCCGTGTGTGCTGGCGTCCGGGTCCCAGCGGGTTTTCACGTAACAAGTACACACGGGCGATCGGCCCGCTTGCCGCGGGGCCTCCGCCGTGTGAAGGGACGCCCAGAGTGAGATGGAGACGCAGACGGCGGGTGGCGGTGTGTGAATGCGAGAGGCGCACTAGCGCGTAGAGCCGTAGCGGCGCGAGGAGTCGCTCATGGCAGCAGCATGGCGCGGGCAGCGACAATGTTTGCGCTCGTTCTCACGAACCGTGGTCTTCGGTCTTGCGCGAGAGCGTGTGCTTGTGTACGGCCGGACGCTACGAACGGGTAGTTTGTTTGTGTGAGTGAGTATTCTTGATACGGGTGGGCGCCGGAGTGGGAGTGGTGTGACTGCTCCTGTGGTGCGGGCGACGGCTTCTGAGGAAGCCGTCGCCCGCGCCTCGCCTGTCGCGCGAATCGTGTCGTGCGACCGCCTTCTCTTGTAAAATTCTTGATACGAAACCACGACATACTTACAACGACGACACACACCAGTCGACTCGCATCGGTTGCCTCCATGAGCGGCGGAGCTATTCTCGCGTCCACACCCAGACACTCTTGCTTTTTTGAAAGCATGTTTGCGCGCGTTCAGGCTCTAAGTTTGGACCACGCCATCCCTCTCCACGGTCAGATAGTCCGCTGGTTGGGTGCGTATATGCTGCGCAACGCTGTGCTGCTCGGCCTCTGCTGGCCTTTGGCTGGCAAGAAGGGCGGTGGCCGCCGCTTCGATCGGTCTCGGTACGCAGACATCGGAGAGCGGGGTGAGCTCGAGTTGGCTCCCGTCAACACCACCAGCGAGCCATCCAACCAGCAGATCCTGGCACCAGATCCGCCAGAGACAGTGCAGCTCATCATTGGCGTCCTAAGCTTCCGCCAGGGCGACGCGTGGCGGCGGCGCGATGCCATCCGGCTCCTCGCACCGCGGAGCGACAAGCTCATCTCTCTGCGCTTTGCCATGCCGGCCGACGAGCGCGATCGGGACGCGGAGCGCGGAGACATGCTGCTACTGCACGTGCCGGGGAGGGCGCGGCCGCTGCGCCAGACGATCGGCAAGTGGATGCTCCAGAAGGCCTTCTTTGAGTACGTGCTCGATCTAGCGAAGCGGCGGCCGGCTATCCGGTGGATCGCGAGGGCGGATGATGACGCGCTGTACAACGCGACCGCGGTGCTGGCTGACGTCTCGCAGCTGGCGGCGCACCGCTACGCCGCCTACGGGCCGATCCGCAACTGGTACTCGTACTGGCCGCGCGAGATGCAACCCGTGTGCTGGGCTCTCGGGCCCATCAAGCAGCTGCGCCTCACGAAGAAGGAGCACGACCTCAAGGCGGCCCAACCTCCCCATCCTCGCTCCCCTTGTCTCCCTCCCTCCCTCCCTCCCTCCCTCCCTCCCTCCCTCCCTCCCTCCCTCCCTCCCTCCCTCCCTCCCTCCCTCCCTCCCTCCCCCTCCCTCTCCTTCCCGCCCTCTCCTTCCTCCCTCTCCTCCTTCTCGTCCTCCTCCCCGCTGCCACTCTCAGCCCTGACGCTACCCTCACCGCCGCCACCCCTGCCGCCAAGGCGGCCGGCCAGCCCTTCAAGCACGAGTGTTCGCACAAGAACACCGTCGGGCCCTTCCCGATGGCGGCGGGTCCGCTGCTCGTGCTGTCGACGCCGCTTGTGCAGGCCCTCTCACCCGTCATCAAGACCGACGCCGCGTTCGTCGTCGGAGATCGGCTGCGGATACCTCTCGTCAGCGTGCCCGACTTGGAGCTGCGGCAGCCAAGCACCGTCAAGCACCCGTCGGCGCGGATCCTCTCGCAGGACTCGTACCTCTTCTACCTCATGTTTCGTGAGCTGAGGAACGAGTCCCTAGTGATGGCGCGTGCTTTGCCCTGGATGGCCTCTCTCGGCCCCCCAGGCCCCCTCCAAAAGCCCAGCCCCACAATACGCAGGCCTCGATCCCGATCACTGAGTACGACGATCGCCGCTCGCTCGAACGCAAGCTGCTACCCGCAACGATCTACCACTACCTGAAGACTAAGAAGCGGTTCGACTGGTTCACCTCCGCGAGGATGACGCGCATGATGCACCATTTGCGGCCGCACCTGTTTTGCAACCCCGAGGGAGGCAATCCGTTTGGCGATATGATGGCCAACGAGGTTGGCTGCTGCAAGCGGTGGGAAATATGCCAGTTCACGCGGCCGCCGCCCCACGAGCAGCCGCCACTCGCGAAAACCATGGAGTGGTTCCGCTTCCTCGACCAGAACAAGCACTTCGCCTATTGAGGGCAGGCGGGTAGCATGAATGTCTTATATTAGGAAAAAATGCTTAGCGCGAAAAACAGGCACACCAATCTCCCTTCCTCGCTCTATCCGGCCCTTAGAGCTCCAGAATCCACACCCCCCTGCCCTGGGATCGCGTACGAGCTGTGGCTACCGTTGGCCCCACACTAGCGTCGCTGGGGGGGTTCCCTGCCCTAGAGTGTAGAGATGGGAAGCTGGCCGCTGATCCGAAGACCGACGCTGCACACCAGGGCGCCTAGATGTACCCAAGGTGAAAGAGGGTGAAGTTACGCCCGCTTAAATGCCTGTCTCTCTACTGTGGAGCTTACTCCGTGCTCGGTGCTCCCCCTAATCCCCCCCCCCCCCCCCCCCCCCTAACTCTCCCCAAGGGGGGGGGGGGCGTGTGGGGGGGAGGTTTGTCGTTTGGGCTGTGGTGCGAAACAGTGTTCGCCGTCAACGATTGGGGTAGGGGCCCCAACTCGTGTGAGGCTACTACTTTATCGCAGGTACTCACTGAGGAGCGTCTTCTCATATGTAGGGTCTTCATCCCCTCCTGCCAGTCTTCACGGATTTTTCTCCGTGAACACTCAGGACGCGACATACGTCCAAGCACGTTCCGCGTGCCTCGTGGCCGCGCTCTTTTGCGTGCTGCTCCTGCAGCTCTCTCGCTGCTCTTCCTGGCCCGGCGCCGTGCCAGCTCGGTGGCCGCGCCAGGCTCTGCGACCGCGCCAGCACTCTGGCTGCGCCGGTTCTTCGCTTTCCCCACCCACCCTCTCCTGGGATAGGGGGGTCGTTCTGAGGGCTCTCCGTATGGTTAGCTCCTCCCTCTCTCTGGTCTGTGGTG